AAGGTCATTCCTGTGGCCCAGAATCAGGGCAGTGGTTCCGTTTTACTTATTGTAGTGTCCCCGTCTGTGCCAGAAGGGTGGAATCAGCAGGCATGACTTCCACTGCTGATGTCCACTGGGATTAGCTCCACAGCCAGTGGTACGGTACCATTGGTAATCTCTCCCTTATATATAAAGCAATAGTGGGGCCCAACGTTCCAATGCGCACCAACAGTGTTTGGAGGCTTGAACTGTCTGTCAGAAGCTTCCCCAGCTTCTCCTATCCATTGGCCGTGTTGCCTAAGTCCCACCTCAGAACACAAAGGCTGTAGCCCTGCCTCTGTGCCCGGTCCCCTCAGAGGTCAGACTACTGCTGACACCCACCTGGTGGGTGAGTGGAGCTGGGGAGCAATTGAAGAGCGGCGTGGCGGTGGCCCTGACTAGTCAGGCCTTGGCGGAGGATCAGTTGAAGGGCGGCAGCGATGAGCTGCTTGCCCCGGCCCGACTCCCCCCCCCCACTAGCCAGGCCTGGAGAGGATCAGTGGAAGGCCGCCGCTGGCGGCAAAGAGCCGCTTGCTGCGGCCCGATTTCCCTCCCCGGCCCCTCCCCCCCCCCCCCCACTAGCCAGGCCTGGAGGGGATCAGTGGAAGGCCACCGCTGGCGGCAAAGAGCCGCGGCCCCATTTCCCTCCCCCCCATTGAAGGCCGGTGGCGATGAGCCGCTCACTGCAGCCCGATTTCCCCTACCCACTCATTTGGAGGCCGCCAGTGGCGGCAACCCGACCACCACACGCCTGTTTTTGGCCTTCCCCCACCCCCGGCTTTAAAGACCCATCGGAGCCCTACAGGCTTCTGGGGGCAGCAGGTGAGGGGCGGCGGCGCTGAGCCAACCCCCGCCGGCCCATTTTCACTGCTCCCCCCCACCTTCACCAGCTTTCGGGGACAGCAGGCGAGGGGCGGTGGCGCTGAGCCAACCCCCCCGGCCCGTTTACCCCACTACCCCCCTTCCTCTCTCTTCCTTTTTCCCTATCTCCCTTCATTCTTTCCCTCTCTCTTTCTCCCTTCATCCCCATCGCTTTGACTTCATCCCCCCCGTCTTACTGTCTGTCTATGTCTCCCCCCCTCACCCTCTTCCTTCCAATCTTCCTTCCTCTTTCTCCAAACCCCTCTATCTATCCATCTACCTACCACCCACCCTACTTTTCTAGGGCCCGTTGTTTTCATCCACAACGGGATTTGCTCCGTAGTAGATATAATAAATAAATAAGAGCAGGTCCATGTAGAGCACATTGTGGTAAATCTTAACATGATCAGGGCATGCAGCACAGTGGCAAGATCTTGGTGAAAGGCATCCTGGCCACCACTGCCACTTGTTATCCAACATGATGCCCAAGGTATGAATCTGCTTCTTTGGGGGTTCAGACTGGACAGGCTGAAACTTATCCCACACAACTCAACAAATTGACAGGTACCCTAAGACCATTTGATCCCATATATCCCAGTTCCTGGCTTAAACCTCCACACCTGTGTAGCATCACCATTTTTATATGGACCAAATTTCAGTTTGTTAGCCCTCATCCATCCCAAAACTGACTCAAGGCACCTGTTCATGGTTTCCACTGCCTCCCCGGGATCTACTGGAAATGTGAGATAAAGCATCACCCACATATTGGTGTCAAATCTCTGGATGATTTCTTTTCGTGGCTTTACGTACATGTTGAAAAGCCTGGGGGACAAGACAGAAACTTGCAGGACTCAGTACTCAGGGCCAAGAGGTGAAGTATCAGTCTGTCTGTCTCTTAGCACAGATCATCCACCATGGCAACCAGGGCCATTTCAGTCCCATAACCGGGCCTAACAGATCCAAACAATCCTCAATTAGAAGTCCCTGAAGTTGCCCAGCTACCACTCATTCAATCCTCTTGCTCAAAAATGGTACGTTTGAGACTGGATGATAATTATTCAGCTCCAGTATCCAGAGAAGATACCTGCTTCAAGGCATTGACAACCACCTCCTCTCTCTCAAGGTTGCATTTACTCTTTCCTGGACCCAGTCCACCAGACATCCCCCCCGGACAGATTTAAGTAGTCCAGGAGGGGCAAGAGTTATACGAGCAGTGGTAGGTCTCAGACTTCCAAACATCCCCTCAGACTGGTCAGGCTGAAAGGTAACCCACACAATTCAAACTCTTGCCTGTTGACCATTTGATCCTGTCACGGCTAATGTACAGCTCGGTTTGGAATGGACATGACTGCTATCTGCAAAGTTCAGCAAAACAGTCACAGTGGACTATGGGCCAGAACCAAATAGAACCAACCTCCACTGTCACTCTCCCTGTCTCCCTTGTCTACCAAGGGGCTGCCTGGGCTCTTAAATCTGAAAATGGGTGCCTAGGAACAATCATGTCAGTTGCTTGGAACCTTTCCTCATGCCAGATGCCAGCTAGGAAATCAACAGGAACAGTGGACACATCAGCAGAAAATTCCCCATATGCCATCTGAAAACCAGTTTAATCCGTCAGGCTGTGGGTGCTGATCATCTTACTTAATCGATCCCCCATCTATGCAAACTCTTGGTATCCCTGTAAGTCTGAGCCCCAGCATGTAATGATCTGTCCATGACAGGGAGACCATCTTCAATTCCCCTCACCTTCAGATCTCATCCTTCTTGCCTGGTACCAAACACCAGATCAAAAGTGTGACCTGCAGTATGTGGGGCCTGTTACCACCTGACACAGGCCCATTATTGTCATGGATACCATGCAATTCTGAGCTACTCCTGACATTTCCAAGTTCTCAAAAATATGTTTTAGCAACATTTCACAAATGATGAAAGCTTTATTTTCAAATAATTTTTGCTTGTAGTGAACTATAGGGTATATGGGCAGGTTTGAAGAGGGACATTAGCTATACTATCTTCCCACATCAGAGTGTTGAGAATAATTTCTTATACAGGCAGATCATTTTCAGTTGGCTTACAACATTACTTTTTTTAACTGGCCAAATTTTATCAGCTTTATAAAATTGTATTTCCCACTTCAATTATACATTCCATGTATCTTTTTTCTTTCGGTGTTCTAGCAAACACCTAGATACAATGTACTTCAAATAATTAAAAATAATTACTGATTGCTGAATCTTTGAGGTACAACTTTTAACATGCAAAAGCAGGGCACATTTTTACTTTTAGCTGAATTGTGTGCACTGCCATAGATCCTTGAAATCTGATGAGAACTTGTGGGCACTGTGTATAGAAATATTGTTTCTAAAGTCTCATGCCTCTTCCTGTGATGACATTCTGTGTGTCTTTTTTCCTGCTACAGGCCAGATGGCCTAGTGTGATTTCTGTCACTTGACCAGATGGCTGAGCTACCAAATAGCCATGCTATATAATCATGCCTGATACCCACATTCCTTAACACCTCTCTGCTGAGGACCAGACTTGAAGGCTCCAATTGTATGGCCTACATGGACCATGTCACGTACACAATGGAGAAAGCTGGAAGTTGGATCACCTGACTGCAGGCAGGGCCTCTAACTTCTTAGCCAATCCCTACACACCTGATGTGGCAGCTATGGCAACCAGAAATTGGGCACACACCCCTGCTGCTCGTGATTGGCTGATGGCCACAGCTGATGGTGACTGGCATGGGGTATAATTCCCTGGTTCTTTAGGGAAGAGCTCTCTTGCTCTTGGGATCCTGACTTTTGAAACAAAGAGCTTCTTTGTGAACTGATTGCGGGTTGCCAATCTTCTGTTATTGTGGATCTGTATCTCTGAGCAGTCCTGGAGTACCTACCTGCACAAGACGGGATTTCTCTTCAAAATCCCTTGGTGCCAACCTGTACTGTTATGCAATGGACACTCTTGGACTATCTGATGCTACACTTAACTGGGTAACTATGATTATTATTAATGTGCAGTAAGGGCAACTAGCCATAGGTTATTATTTTGTATCCTCCATTAGTCTCTTGTTATGCTTTTGCACTGAATAAAGATCATTCATATTTGTAATTGTCTCTGATGCGGTAATTGAACTCCAGGGCTAAATCTTGTGTCTAAGCTGACCACTGAGCTACCACTGTGAGAGTAATTGTGTGCACCTCTGAGTTAGAGTTGCTGATATGTTAAGTCCCAGATGCCAGCTAAGAGATTGAATCTCTGCTCTTAGGCTGGGTGGGGACCCCTTTGAAGAGATTCTGGTTACCTTGGAGTTTCAGGTAATTTTCAGTTGGCCATAAAACATATTCAGTGCAAGGAATTCAGAAAAGTGACCCAGTGTCCAAAAAACAGACTGTACATTTAATATTTTCTTTACATCACATGACAAGGAGCATCATGAAATACAATGATCCACAATTATTCAGTATCCCAACTGCTATTTTTCTCAAATATAAAGAAATACACCTTAAGATAAACAAGGCTATCAACCACCCTGACAATAACAGTGCTCTTCAGAAGTCAAACAGTTCTCAGTAGCAACATGGGTCTTAAAGGTAAATTTATTCTTTAAAATCTTATTAAGCAATTGAAGTAACCTCCTGGAATATTCAATATGCTCATAACATAAGCAGTATGTGAGCTGGGGGCTTTAATATTCTGAATTAAGAAATTCTGAGAAATATACTCCTGATATGAGATAAAGGGACTTATAATGTATACATCATAAAACAACGATTTGATTTAGCAGGGGTTTTTTACAACAAAAAGGACATTTCTTGGATATACTAATTGTAAACAATTAATTAATTGTAAACAATTATGGTCTGAATTTAAAAGAAAACTCTATTAGCTGAATGTAACTGTTAATGTTCAGCTATATCTATAAACATATGTCCAATAACAATTGTTATTTTGGAAGCTTCTTTACTCTTGGGGGATCATACCACGTTCACTTTTTTAAAAAACTGCACAGTTCATTTTATTACCAAATTCCAGCAACTCAAACATTTTATTTTGAAAGAAGACACTATTGTTTTAAATAAAAACTGTAGGCTATACATACTTGCATCTAAACTGTTAATGAATTTTATAATGCACAATTTCCAGTTACCTACTGGAAAGTAAAGTGAAGTGATGGCCACCGTGGGAGTATAAAAATTGTTTGTAAACAAGATGCAGATGAAAGCTTTTCTGGATTCTCTTTCCAGCTTTCTTGAACACACAAATACCAGTTACAGATATTGTGTATAAGAATGCACTTTGTATTAAAAACAGCCAACTGTTTACATATTAAGAAAACTTTACATATGTACAAAATTACACTTCAGGAATGATTTTTGAAGTCCAAACTTCTGACAATATTTATTTCCCTTCAATTAAATTTTTTAATTCTTTCATGTTATGTTCATTTGCAACTATTACAGCATGGTCCAATGCTCGAATACTTGCTAGAAGTTTTATTATCTGTTTTATATGCTCCCTAAGAAGAAAGAGAAGAATGGTCAACAATTTTACACCCAGCAGTTAATGTTAACGAACTTATGTTAAAGAAAAGGGTATGGGGTTAACCAGGAGTTTTAAACACATACATTAGGCCTCCCAGTTTACTTGGTATCTTCTCTGTGCAGTGAGAGGGGGAAGTAGGCACATTCAGAGCTTAAATGTAATCAGTTCTCTTCCCCACCACAATCAGGACAGTAGATGCAAAATCTCAAGTGAATAAGCTGTTAGCTATATAAATGCATCACACACCTAAGACTCTAAATTCTTAGGAAAGTTTTGTAAATATTTAGAGCCATATTCTCAAGGAAGCAAAATAAAATTACACAACCAATGTTTAACTATTGTAGTTTGGATCCAATGGTTTCTTTCAACTGAATTATCTTCCAGTGGAAAGGCTGCCAAGGCTTCATTCTGACATCCAACTTAACTGTGGTTAAATAAAAATGTGCACACACCTGGCTTCTCCTGCTCTTCTTGCACAGAACATGAAGAAGGAATGATGGTTTAGGACTAAGTGTGCAATCTGAGGCCACTACACTGTAACTGATTAGTTTTGATTGTTTAGAAACTACTTCTTGAGTGAGAGCACAGTATAGACAGGTTGCTTACCTGTAACTGGTGATCTTCGAGTGGTCATCTGTGCATTCACACCCTTGGGATATACTGCGCCTGCGCTGACCTTCTCGGTACCGGTAGCTAGCAAAAGGGATTTTCGCGCCTCTCCCAGGTCACGCGCCGGCTCCACTGCGCATGACCAAGGAGGGGCACGCAGATCCCGCCAGTTCCTTCTGACCGCCGCCCAACAGCCTTCAAAGAAACAAGATGAAGGGCCGAGAGCAGAGGGGAAGGAGGGCGGGTGGTGTGAATGCACAGATGACCACTCGAAGATCACCAGTTACAGGTAAGCAACCTGTCTATCTTCTTCGTGGTCTCTGTGCATCACACCCTTGGGAGAATAGCAAGCAATAACTCTTACCTGGAGGAGGGGCCGAGGCCCTACATCTGCGCCGTCTGCAATATAGACCGACCCAACGCCACACGACGAGAAGACCGGACATCAAGGGCATAATGCTTCACGAAGGTGAGCGGAGTAGCCCAAGTCGCAGCGTTGCAGATGTCCTCCAACGGCATACCTCGCAGGAAAGCTGTGGAAGTTGCTACCGCCCTCGTAGAATGGGCGCGAAGCTGACCTGGAAGAGGTTTCTTAGCCAAAGCGTAGCATAGCTTGATCACCTCCACAATCCATCTCGACAGCCTCTGGGAAGAGATCTTCTTCCCTTGGGAGGGCATACTGTGAGCAACAAACAAAGCTGGAGACTGGCGAAAAGACTTAGTCCTGCCCAAATAGAACAACAACGCTCTCTTAACATCCAGAGAATGCAATTTCCGTTCCTCTTCATTAGCAGGAGACGGGAAAAATGATGGCAAAGTTAGGTACTTAACAGACCGAAGCAGAAGGCGTCCTACCAGCGCGGCGGTCAGAAAAGAACTGGCGGGATCTGCGTGCCCCTCCTTGGTCATGCGCAGTGGAGCCGGCGCGTGACCTGGGAGAGGCGCGAAAATCCCTTTTGCTAGCTACCGGTACCGAGAAGGTCAGCGCAGGCGCAGTATATCCCAAGGGTGTGATGCACAGAGACCACGAAGAAGATATAAAGGTTTAAAATCAAGAGGGTTCTGAAAATTTTCTTAATGCTGCCTCTCCAGAATTGCCTATAACTCATTGTAGGGTTTTTTTGAGAAGATGTAAGGAGAAAGAAACTGCAATGTCCTTGGTTGCGTATTGCCCTTTCAATGATCACCATTGTGTTTGGCATCTATTTCTGTTACCTATTCAAAAAGCTGAAACATGTAAAAATAGGTTACCTTGCATTTCTTTTTTCTACATCAGAGCATCCAATGCTGTTTCGGTATACAGTATCAGCAAGATGAACAAGGTATCTACAGAGATTTTCTAAATGTGATATTGTCTTATTTCCTTTAAGATTAGTGAACCACTGTTTAGGGAAACAGCTGATTACCTAGAAGATAGAACAGGAGGAAGACAAGAGGGGGGCCAGAACACAAGATTAAAAAATAAATAACTCTGGCTATCTGTACACAAAGTACACCTTTGAAAAGTATGGCTTGATACTATGTAAACATGCAAATTAGATACATAAAATAAAGGCATATTCTTTGCATCATATGGATAGCAGCAGTCAAGAGGTTACATTTTTCTGTTAAGGTAGTGCGATGTACAAAATGTACATCAGCAAGCTTTCTATGGTAAATATATTGCAAACTTCTAATGTTTCAAATTTTTAATCTTCCTTTCCCCCCAAAAAAGGGGGGGAGGAGAAGCAGCATATATTAATTTCTCTCATTTTATCACATCTTACAGATGGTATAAGAACTATATCTTTAACACGACAAGACAAGGTATATAAGCAAGTTGAAAAGATGGTAACGACTACAACAGTACTAATTTATGTACACACAGTTGCAAAAGTGTTTACAAAAATTATTTTCTATTGTAAGGTATAAGCTTATAAAGTGTTATATAATTGGCTCCAAATTATGCTTACTTATACTGTAACCCCAGTTTTATGTTATTCTACGTGTTTTGTCCATGTATGTATTTTGTGCGTGTCATAAAAAATAAAAAAATTGTTAATTTTTTTTTTAAATCACAGCAGTCTTGTGTAGCAGACGGAAAGAAACTTGGCCAAGGTGAACTTCAGTAAATTATATGAGTGAATAAAAATTTCAACATGGATTTCCCACATTCAAACCCAGCATTATAACTGTAACAGCACAATGATGCTCAGTAATTTGCAACATGCTGAATTTTTTAAGACTAGTGAATTATGAAAGTAATATGTTTACATACATGTTGAGCTTTCTTAATGCTGTCATCTCCACACTCAGAATTCTGAAAAGCCATAAGGATATATCTGTTTAGCAGGCCGTCTATTGAAAGTTCTTGCAAAGTTCTGTTGGAAAGAATTCCATGCCACTGCAGAAAGTTTCCCAATAGCTAAGGACAAGGTTTAAAAAATGAACATAAAGCAGAGTAATGAATCAATGCACTTCATTTACAACTCTTATATTGACAATTTCTATCTATGGATATAGGGTTGCAGAAACTATTTCCATAAATAATGTACACCTCAAATTGATCAGATATTGATATGCATATTTTTTCAAATTTGATGTGAAAAAGTCAGCTGAAGGAAGTCTGAAATTGTTTTAAAGCAAAAGAAAAGTTAAAAGCAAACACTCTTAAAATTGATTTCAACAGAAGGAAGTTAGTCATGAGTTCAGCTCACCCGGCTGAAATCGGTGATGACAACAGGGCCTCAGTCAATACTTTTCTAACAGTGGAACAGCACTGCCCTGGACTAATATCCATATTGGACCCAGTACTGTTCCCTGAACCTCAGGCTGCAGCGTAAGCAAAGAAATGAGAAAGCCATAGTAAACTGAATTCAGCCCATTGGCTTGCATCCCACAGAGAATATTCATGGGTGTATTCCACCCCACCATCCCCAATGTATTCCACCCCACCATCCCCAAACACCCTCTGAAGTATTCCTCCTGTGGGATAGTATTCCCTAGGAATAGCATGTGAAGGCGGAGTTGGAGAGGGAAATAGGTGAAAATTATCCTCCCCCCCCCAAAAATCCTCCATGTGATCCAAGCCATAGTCTTAACTTTGAGTGGGAGAGACAGGAAAGTTTCTTTCCATAAAGCAGAGCTCTACTCACAGATAGCAGAATCCAATCTTTTAACAGAACTTTGAATGCCAGAGACATTATTTGCCATAAATCGAATCTTTTGGAGCAGAGAGTCAGCATTAAAATAACTGTCCATTGCAAGGGGGGGTGTGTGGACTCCAAAATTACAATTTCCTTATGTACAATTTTTTGTGCAGTGTTTATGACCTAAACATTCAAAAATGTATTCCTTTCATTGTATGAAAAAATCACAAATAATCTACATACAATGTTAGCATTTTCTGATATGCCACTGCTCTCTTTTACCACATGCACATTAAAAGTTAATCTCTGGGCATATAAAATGTTCAGTCAATTTCATGATAATCTGAAACTCAGAAGCAGTTAGGTTCAGTCTGAATACTTTCTTTCCCTTACAAACCATTTTTCTTCATATGAAGTCCATCAATTATCCTTACAACTGCAATAGTATTACCCTGTTTGAAACTGCATCTCTTCACTAGCTTACCTTTACTGAAGACCAAAACTGTCTCTGGAAAAACAAATAAGGACCAGAGTTCTTGTTTTCTAAAACACTGAAAAATAAGAGATGTTTTGAGTAGCTCAGAAAATTACTGAAATGATCCAGTACAAAGTGAACAGAGTACTGCAATCCAACCCCGCCCATATATGAGAAAGACATGAACAATTAAAAAAAAGCAAGCTTACTTTTTGGGATAAAGAGGCATGAATACATCATCATCTAGCGTTCTCCTCATTCTAAGCAAAAGGGCTTTCAGTAACATCTGAAAGAATTCAAGTTTACATATGAATCTGAAAGAATACTGAAAATGAAGCATGCCTTAGCACAGTTTCAACAGAAGCCTTGTAAAGTCCAGAAAGTCCAAAGTTCAATACCCCAGCATCACCAGTTAAAAGAATCAGGTAGCAGATGATGTGGAAGGTCCTCAAGTGCTGATGCAATTCAAAGCAGACAGCACTGATCTTGACAGACCAATGGCTTGACTTTGTATAAAGCAGTTTCGCTTGTATTTTGAAGGCAGTCAGGATGTCAGTTAATTTTTAAAAGTTCACTTTTTTTGGTGTATTTCATAAATTCAGATTAAATGGAAGGAGAATACTGAAGTACACTTACGTTCAATTAGCCACTTTATACATAACAAACTATAAATATTGTCTACTCTAAATCCCTCACATGGGGGCTGTTTAAATTACTTATCTATTCTTAAAAAGTACCCAGTTGCCAATTGATGATTCTGTAACTGTATTCAGAGGTCACACAACAGGGTTTGTTATTTTTAATGACTGGAATGAACTGACCTTGTTGCTGTCCTGGGTGCTTATCTAGCTCTTACCCACCTCCCCCTGCACATGGAACACAACTGATGGCTTCTGGATTTAAGAAGCATGGACACCTGGGCATATTGGAAATGCCACCCCCAACCCAAAATTCTAAACCAGTTTAATCCCTGATTAGATTCGTGGTATGGGGGAGGATGAACTTCAACTTGCCAAGGTATCCGTATTTGGACATTATGGCAACATGGGTTAACCCCAGTTAGTGCTTGGAAGGAAGACCCACCAAGGAAATCCAGGGTTGCTACACAAAGGCAGAAAATGGCAAACAACCTCTGAATGCCTCTTGCCCTGAAAACCCTATAGGCTGCCCCAAGTCCGCTGCAATCTGACAGCAATCTGACAGGAGAGCCAGTGTAGTGGTTAAGTGTGCGGACTCTAATCTGGGAGAACCGGGTTTGAGTCCCCACTCCTCCACTTGCACCTGCTGATGTGACCTTGGGTCAGTCACAAGCTCTGGCACAGCTGTCCTTGAAAAAGAGCAGTTTGTGTCAGAGTTCTCTCAGCCCCACCCACCTCACAGGGTGTCTGTTGTGGGGAGGGGAAGGGAAAGGAGTCTGTAAGCCGCTCTGAGACTCCAAGTGAAGGGCGGGGTATAAATCCAATCTCTTCTTCATCACTTTCCACCACCAGTACAATGTGAGACATCAGGTAAAATCACTTCCTTCTCCCTCTTCTGCCAATGGCTTGCAGCAGCAGAGCTGGTGATTTCTCCGGATTCTCCCTAGTCGTGCTGTATACAGTGGCACATTCTCTTTGCGAGGTTCTCTCAACCCTCCAAGAGGATTTGCAGAGCAAACACCAGGCTGCTTGGGGAAAGATTTCTTCCTCCATCTCCTTCCATGAACTTTTCTGCTTACAAACTCCTTTCCCTTCCTCTCCCCACAACAGACACATTGTGAGGTAGGTGGGGCTGAGAGAGCTCTGACAGAAACTGCTCTTTTCCAAGAACAGCTGTGCCAGAACTACGGCTTGCCCAAGGTCATCCAGCAGGTGCAAGTGGAGGAGTGGGGAATCAAACCCGGTTCTCCCAGATTAGAGTCCGCGCTCCTAACCACTACACCAAACTGGCAATTAAGAAGTATATACAAAGAATACAGCAAAAACATGAACAACAATTTTGAAAAGGTTAAACGCCAATTTTTACCTGCGTGTTTTTGTTCTCTGCATGTATCACAGAAGGATACCCATTTATTAGTTTCTGGGTAATGGCTACCATTCTAGATGTTTGTGTTGTAGAAAAGGGATCCCATATATTTTCAGCAAATACTAATAAAAATAAATGCAATATTCAGCATTAGACATTATGATTTGATTGTTGCAATGTATTTCTTCTGGGAAAACTGCATGCTTATGAAGTACCTGTTAATTTAGGCAGAACCACCCTTTCCACAATAGTAGGTAACAGTGAAACATCAGCATCATCTTTCTCCTGTTCATGTTCTTCACATCCATAAAACAGCAAGGATTCAAACCATAACATGCTTTCAAAATCCTGGCAATTGTCCTATTAAAACACACACGGATGTCAATTGGATGTTACACTTCAAACAAAGCCACCAACTGTGTACAGTCTGCAACCCTTATGCCATACAACCGTATATGTTATCTGGAGACCTCACTGTCACAGTATACTTGCTGTAGCAGCTATACAGGGTATTTTGGGAAGTTGCACTGGCATCAAAGTCAGTTTGTTTTACTCCATCACCTGTTTGTTAATTCACTGAGACTTGGAATCAGATTACAGAAACTGTCATTCCTTAATGCTGCAATATCCTTTCTTCTCAGACTGAAAAAAATGCTAGTTTTTGTGGCCTAGACTATTTACAAATTTCTGCAGTATACTTCAAGAGATATACAGTGATGATTTTTTAATCTCTCTCATCCTCCAAGAAATTATGTATTTTAACTGTTAGATGTTATTTTAACTATTATTATAAGCAGCTTTGAACCATGCAGAAAGGTAGGATACAAATGTTTTAATAAGTAATGCCTGCCTCTTCCACCACCCCCATCTTACCCTCACAGCAACCTGAGAGGTACATTAGGCCATGAGAGATTGGCAGGCCTGATGTAATTCAGTAAACATTGTAGCAGAGTAGGGATTTGAACATGGGCCTCTTCTGTCATAATCTGACACAGACAACTACACCACACTGGGTCTAGTGATGTGATGCTTAGTAAGAATGAAGAAGGAATGCAAGTCACAAATGACATCATAGGCCAATCTAATATTATAAATGATACAGCATACCAACTGGCCAACTGATTTAGGATCACTTCATAGGGTTCATCTTGTTTAACAAAGTGAACCCGCTGCTAACTGCTAGACTCCAGTTTCCAACTAACACTGCCAAGGCCAAAGGGATGAGAGGCAGCAGCTGGGTATCATTCCATCATGCTCAGATCCAGCTACATTCATGAAGAGTCCCTTCCCCCCCCCCTTGCACATTTTAGCTTCTATATTATAATTCTTGTACTTTTTAATGTCAAATACTTTCTGTACATGTATTGAAAAGCAGTATCATTCCAGTACTCTCTCACCTCCAAAGGGTTCCAAGTAAGTAACTGAAGTCTTATTAAAGGATTAAGCAATTTAGGTAGACAAAGGCCAATGTATGCATCCTTGTAAGAAGAGAAATACTTGGAACGCCAGGCTTCAAACTGTGACTTAATGCAGTCAATGGAGTAAAAGCTTTCTAACACATCTTCAAAAACTTTGCTGGACTCCTTCAAAATGCGATCTAGGATGAAAATGTTTTGTTATGTAAGAAACAAATTCACTATTTGGGTAGACAGTTCATTGCCAGAATTAAAAAAAACAACATAACCAAGCTTCTAAGCCAAAAAGTAAACAGGTTTACACTCATACCACTGCAATGTTTCTTAATATTCAGGCATCTTTATATTAAGACCCAACAAATTTACTGTTACTTCAGAAGCTGGTTTTACAACTACTGTTACTGCAAGTCCGGGTTATGACTTGTGGCTTCAGTATGGCAACCTCTAAGACATAGCCACATAGAAATAATTCTGTGGGACAAGTAGCTTGTGAAGCATCTTCCTCCCTGAACAAAACCAATGTATGTAAGAAACTTGCTTCTGTAACAGACCTTAAAAGCAGCTTACAAGATTACACACAATAAAGGGGAGGGTTTCTTTTTCTTCAACCATTTATACCAAAGTGCTCATCACCCGAGAACAAAGAACCTAGGTAGAACAATAATCCAAACCAGTAATCCTTCCTTCACTATTGCCGAGGATGAATGGTAACTGCACTTTAATTGCTGGAAGCACAGGACAATGTAAGAGCCAGATGAATGCTCTAAGGGCTACCTCAAGCTGACATCAATGGCCACTAATGTTAAGGAACTTTAATTATTCGAGGCAAGCCCTCTGATGCTCCATTTTGCTGTGGTTACGGATTCAAAGTCCACTGCAGCCTGTAACTATGGCGGTGAAGCAATAATAGTAATCCTACACTTCATATGTTTTAAGGTTACCATTATAGAACAGATTTAAAGTGTTATACTGTGGTTTGCTCAATTGGTCGCATACAGCCTACACCTTTTAGGGTTTCAAAGGTTCCATCTTGTCCTGCATACTTTTTAACATTTATATGAAGCCAGTGCAAAACGTCAACCAGAGATATGGGCTGAGCTGCCACCAGTATGAAGATGACACAACTCTATCTCACACTTCCAACAAATCCTAGGAAGGCTGCAGAAACCATGAGCAAGTGCCTGGAGGTAATTTGGGACAGATATGGAATAACAAGATAAAACTTAATCCCAAGAAAATGAAGGTGCTACTGGTAGTGGTGGGGAGTACGTTTGTAGCTTGGGGATGCTGCTCAAGCTGGGCCTCCTGCTGGATAAACAGGTTCACCAGAGGCCAGGGATGGCATTCACCACCTTTGGCTGTTGAGTCCTGGGCAGTAAAGATTTTGCCACTGGTATACCCTGGTAACATCTAAATTACTGTAATGCACTTTACATGAGGCTGACCTTGAAGACTGTGTGGAAGCTAGAATTGGTACAGAACACTGCAGCCAAAACACTGACTGGAGTAGGGTGTAGGGACTCTTGTGTCAGGTACACTGGCTCCCAATTTATTTCTGGGCCCAATTAATGGGCCCTGGCATTGACCTTTAAAGTCCTATATCATTTGGGGCCTGTATACCTGAAGGATTGCCTTCTCCCATATGAACCCATCCAACCACTCTAGTCATCCTCAGAGGCTCTATTTCAGGTGCCCCACCCATCTGAGGCCTTCTCAGTTGTGGCACCAAAACTTCCTGTCCAAGCAGATTCATCTGACTACCTCATTTGCTGTTTTCTGCCAGCAGGGGAAGACTTTTTTTTTTGTTTAGTTTGGTGTACCCTAACTCTAGTTAGCAATCCTCTCTCTATGTTTTTGTGTGTTCATATCATGGTTATTGTATGTGTTTTAAATGTTTTATACTTAAAAAAAATTTTTTTAATGCTTTTCATTGTCTCCAGTGATTTAATGGAATGTTTACTGCCTTGGTAATCCAGAATTGGGTAAAAAGGGGGCAGAGAAATGTTTTAAATAAATAAGTACAGTGAATAATCTAACCTCGCTCCATATTGAAGTTTGTAGTATCTGTTGAAGTTTCTTCATCATCACTAGAAAGGCCTTCAAGGTGATCAGTCATCTTCCCAGATTGTTCTCTAGCAAGTCTACGACGAGCTCTGTCAGCAAAGATAGAATTTGTTGGTCCTTCTTCAGAGTACCAGGTATCCTCCTGTCCCCTAACAATGAACCTTCCCCCATACTATAAAGGGATATTTGCTAGTATTTCCCTTTCCCTCATTACTACATCGGGAAGTGAAACCGATTTGAAGCTTTCTGGCATTACATAACATGACCTATGCAACAGGTATCAGCACTACAGCTCCTCAACATTTTGCTACTTTCTGTGTGAGCCTGGGAACATTATGTATTAACTACTGAGCCCAGCAGCCAGCTTCCATCCCCAGTAACTGGCTCATTATGCTGTACTATGCAAGATCCAAACAGTGTGCTGCCCACAACAAGGTCAACTCATAATTTTAGATGTGCACTAATCAATAAGTGTGTACTATTTTTACTACATATTTACACCATACACAGAAAACAGGATCCTGCAAACCATCAGTGGGAGGTACTGGACAGTCTACGGTCTTTCCCGCCTTCTCTTCACAAGCTTTTTTGACCATGAAAGAGTATATTCCTGGGGTCAACAGACCCACATGGACTAATAGGCATGCAAGTCAAGTAGCTGCAAGTAAGGGAGGGCAAGGAAACAAGAGCTCAGCTCATGGGAGGAGCATTTTCATTTTTGTCCCCTCTCCCTACAGCCACCTGACTCACATGGCTATTATTAGCCCAGGTGGTACCTTGATCCTGGCAATACACTTTCTGGGATAGGAAAGGATTCTTGCAGGGAGATCCTGTGATCCTTGTGCCTGCAGCTCATGGGATCCAACCCAGAAACACTGACCAAATAGAACAGTTAAGCACTACCCCACTACAAACATAGGAAGCCACAAGTCACCTTCTAGCCTCTCTTTCAGCAGTTCGCCTTTTTACATGTTCTTGGTACAGTGTTCTGTCTCGTCCAAAAGAGTCAAGATTTGGTGCCATCAGTGCTTTATCTGTAAGTATACAAATCCTAAAATTAGGAATCCTTCATGATGTATCACAATAAAGCATAATCATGATGGTCTTGTGTCTTTTATAAAAAAGCAATTTTGATATATCTTTAACACACCCTAAATTTAGTTGAAAATTCCATCCCTCCCTCTGCCCCATATTGGTGGTAGAGATGGCTGAATTGCCTTTTGAAAAGATTTCCCATTTGGTGCAAATAGTGTTTTTGTCACCATGTGCAAACCAAAAAAAAGGTAAAGCCAATATAACCTTATCAATAGTGAATATTTAAATTGTTTTAACATGAAGAAACCATGTTTGTATTAGGAAAAAAATTAGTGTACAACATTTGTAAGAGGAAATGTCAGAAGGAGAAAGACAGCCCTTCAGCATATCTAGAATAGATTGGATCTCTGTTCCTAGTGACTGATACTGATGAATAATAGAAACTTGACAGGATTTCAGTTGGTGTTAGAGAATTAGTATCAGAATAGAATAATGACAGATTGTCCCATACTGAATGCTAGAAAGCAATAAAATCCTGACAGGGTAAGGTTTACTTAAGATCTGTCACCCTGAAAGAAAACATAAGCTTTCCCAGGAAATTTTATATACTCACTTTTAATGTATCTTTCACATAATTTTTACAAATTTGTCCTAGCAAAATTGTATAATGTATATGAGAAACAAAAATGTTAGCACAAAATTTTATTTCCCCGGTCTGGTGTTTAGTATAAAGAATGGCCAACTATAGCCTTAATGTCCCTCCCACATCTGAACACAGTATCACTGAAATTTTAAAACTCCTAGTAGAATAACCTTCAATTTTCAATTCTGTACATTATGTAAAATACTTGAATGAGTGAGTTGAAGACAATATGAAGTCGCACACACAACTAATTTGTAAAAGGTGCTGAAGTATGATATTACAGCTTCTAATTACCACAAGCCTGAGGACAGTAAAGGTAACTCAAGAGTTTGAGCTAGGATTCTTTAACTGAGTTTGTTTCTATCAGATTTAAACTAAACATTCTTTGTAGTTTCACTTTAAATTACAACTGAACTAAGTAAACAAGGTTGTTTAATGAATAATAAAAACCTTCAAGATGGACTGACTTGAATGGCTTGAAAACTCCGAAGATTCATCTTTAATATCATCTTGTCGTCTTTGGACAAGGCGGGAAGCTCGCTGTTTGTACAGCTGGTGCATTGATGACTCGAGCTCGTTAATCAGGGGCACCTGTAAAAATATAATACTCCATAATAAAAAAATCTTCACGTGCTTAATTGTTTGGGATGCCATACAATTCCAATGTGTACTGCTGCACTTTTAGAAGAGCAACTTTTTGCTCATGACTATATTTTTAACAACTGCTATTTAGCTCAAGAAAAAGTGAGAAAAAAATGATAGAGAAGCTGAAAATCACATGAGCGTGCCTGCAAATAAGTCTATAGAAGTTACCAGCCTACATGAAAATTTACTAGCCTGCCTACTAACATATTGGTATTCATCAATTGTGATACTTGGAGCTGTCAGAAACAAGAAAACATCCAGGAACTTGGACAACCTTAACAGTTGTTTATTTAAGAAAATCAGGCAGCTAATCAGTAAGGGTTGGATCCTACAAACCCCAAGCGTTCCAGATCTTTCCTACCTCCTTTCCCCCCAGCAGCCCCTGAAACTTCAAAAAAAAAAAGAAAAAAGAAAAAAAGAAATGATGCTAGCAGACACAGAAGCCTCGTGGACAAAATGTCACAGGATGCTGCAGTGAGGGAGGGCGTTGCCCCTCCTAATGGATTTAACACTGATAGAAGAGGTTCTGTTGGTAGAAGACTGAAGTAAGGGTGATTTTGCCCAGTTCACTCTACCCTCCAGAATCCTGTGCTCCATGGCATTTTGTTTAGGAGGCTACCACAACTTTTGTCAACAAAATTTTGGAGGGAGGGGGGCCAGAAGAAACTGAGTGCCTCCAGTTCCTATTATTCAACCCTAGAGACCAGTCATATTCATAGATCAGTCTTAGCATGAGTCAATTTTTTTGGGAAGCTAGTATGCTCAGGGTTGCAGCCGAAGTTAGCATTATCAAGTCATTATCTAGAACTCTACATAACAAATAAAAAACAAACAGTAAAATCTTGCTTTCAAATCACTGAGTCTGATTCAGCATTCATTCTGGAGGGGAAGTGTGTAACATTTATGGCTGCAAGCAAAAGCTTTAAAACTAGATTAAAAAATCAAATGGAATCTAGAGGTATGTTCCATGATCTGATATGTTGTACTCTGTGTATTTCCCAGCTACCAAAAACACTCTGGATTTACTTTGCAGTAATTAATCATTTGTATGGCAGTGTGTATAGTATAGAGAGGAGATCCAAAGACTGTCTGGCAGACAGACATTCTAGCTCTTTTAGTGTTATGTACCACTAGGTGGTGAGCTAGACTTGTTTTTAAGAAAACAGCAGAAAAACACCAAGGGAAGACCATCAAAGATTAAATGCACTTAAAATGCCTGAGTAGAAGATATATTAAGTAAATGTTTAAATTGCAAATAAATGTCTATGAGTAGGTGGTCCACAATCCACAACAAATACAACATGTGCTCACCACCAACTCATTATAGGTATTTGTATTTGTTGTGGGTTGTGGACCACCAAGTGCATTTAACCTTTGATGGCCTTCCGTTGGCGTTTTTCTGCTGCTTTCTAGTATCACACGCTAGGGATCCCTGCTTTGTCGGCAGACTTGTTTTAAAGGCAAGAGGTGTTTCAGAGGTCGTTTGCAATTGCCTGCCTTTGCGTCATGCCCCTGGTATTCCTTAGAGGTCGTCCATCCAAATACTAGTTAGGACCGATCCTGCTTGGCTTCCGAGATATGAGATTGGGTTAGTCTGGGCTAGTCTGGGCTATCTAGGTCAGGGCTACTTTTCCAGTGATGCTATGAGAACTATACATTCCATGAGGTAAGTTACTATATCCAACATGCTTCCCTCATATGGAGCAGAGTTAGGGCAAGCTGGATCCAGCCCATCTGAAAACATTCTCAGTTCCTTTTTCTTCTACCACCACAGTCCTGTGGCCAATTCTAAACATCTTTTAATTGTAATGTTGACGATTACATTAACCTAAAGCATTCTGTATTACAGCAGGGACTTCCTGATGACCTCAACATGAAGCTATGGTAATTAATAGCCATTTAATACATATGGATCAAAACACTCAAAACAAGACTAAACAGGCAGACTATGAAGAAAAAAATGATCATTTAATTCACATGCAGAAGGTTTTCTAAAAGAGGATATAATAAAAACAGTTCATATTAAAGGATTAGTTACATCTATATTTTTATGGACAGAAGGAACTATCTTCTGATTGCAGCATCTTATTCACGACATTTAATTTTTTTTAAATGAAAGGCAAATGTTACATAAGATTTTTAACAATTTAGTCCAGTGAATCAATGGCTGACCATATTCTCAAACTCCTTCAGTGGTTGGAAAGATGTACAGGGAACTCGGATTTACAATAGTTCTAGTAGTAGTCACAAGCATGATTTTAAAAAAAGCCTAGAAAATATTTATCCTATTTTTGTTATTCTACAGTTCAAACTAGACTAAAAGCTAAGCACAACCCCATGGGCTGACTTCAACCTCCCACAGATAAGCACACACACTGCCCTTTCCTGAGCAGACCAAAAATCATCCTTATCAAAATAGTAATCTAATCAAGTATCTATTTTCATGGCCAGACACTCAGACTAAACCTTTGTCAACTCAAAAGGGAGGGGCTCATAACCAACAAGCATGAGAAAAGAATACAGCAAGAGATGGGCAGTACAACTGTATCCCCTGCTGTAACTTCACAAGCAGCAGCATCCTATGAGACAAGCAGGGCAAATCTATCTACTCCATACATTCCATACAAACCCTCCAATACTATTGTGCTAGAACACTGTTAACAGGCAAACAAATTTTCGAAGTGATGGTGAACCCCAGTTGTAGCTACAACACCCGCCACCACCACAAAAACATGGTTCATTGTGTTCCCACATTTCATGGAAAATTTCCAAAGATTTTGCTGGGCAGGAGAATGAGTCCAAAGTTACCATCATGCAGATCATGCTCATACTTCTGTCTCATTAATAGAACTCTGTTGCCACAGAAGAGAAACAGGACATCCTGACCAAGGACTGCTGGTATTTTGCTCAAAGTTCAGTTAATTATTAAGTTATGCTTATGTACAATACTGTGTTTCTGGACTTGAGTTACCTACTATCCATAAAAGATGTGGCAACTAATTTTGTTGGTATTCTTCTCATTTCATTAGAGAATGGGTTTAAGAATAATGTTTTATTTTAAAGTGTAATTTGGATTTGGAATTTTCTGTTGTATTAAGTTATTTATCTGTAAAGATTCATATGTATAAATACATTATAATCATATTGTATTTTACATTGGATGCTGCTTAGGTAGCACAAAATATGTTAAAAAACATGTTTAAGTTGTTGATTTTTAAAAATTTCTTGTTAGAGAACGGTTTAACTGCCACTTTACTTGATTAACATTTGCCTTTACTTATTAAAACCTGTCCCTCCTGATGCATCTGCAGGGCTGCAAGTTAAGAACACATCAGCATATTTTGAGAAGCTATTTTGAATCATTTTATTTTACGGTTTCCCTGAAATAGGGAATTAAATTAAAAATACAAGATCTAAACAGGAATAGAGCATGTATATTTAGCTATAGATTATGGAAGAATAGTATAAAATGCTTACAACAGATAATTTTATATTAAGGATTTATACTTGTTTAATCAATTAATGAATATGCTATAATGTAGTTATTGGGCAGATATCAAGTAATGATTCTTTAATCAGTTCACAGTTCTACTCAATTGACAGTTGCACTCAAAAAGTATGTTTATAGCGCTGTCATTCACAGGCCCATCCTTCACGTTAAGCCAATACAAACATCATCACCATTGCTCAATGCTAACCTTGTTCTGATGGATCACCTAATCAGGAAAGTTATGAGGAAGTGTCTTCCTCTCCAAGTGATCTCCACCTGTGTAATCAATTTCTCACTAACCATAGTTAGCAGCAAACCAGTTCGTAATTAAAAGTGGTTCTGCATACTAACTTTGTGCTAACTATGGTTACTGCAAATGCTGCTGCGTATGTAACAGAAGTAGATCCATAAAATTTCCACAAATGTTAAAGCTACGGGGGTGGTGGTGGTGGAAATTTTTGGGAAAGTACTTTTTAAATCAAACCTAAACTTTATTACTGATTAACATAAAACACGTAATTTATCTCAGCATATAAAATTGTACTATTTGGCATAATTATGACAGTATACATGTCTTGGCTTTCTATAAGAAAAATGGCAAGTACACCCAATACTTCAAGCTGCATCCTATGCTATCACAGCCCAGGTATTGTTAAATTTTTGCCATCTGAGAGGCTGGAAAAAATAACAGCTGAAAGCAGAAAAGAAATTATGTAGTAAAGAGAAAAAAGTATTATTTGGACAGAAACTAGACCCATAATACATAGGACTGGATATTAACCTAGATGGTATATTATTGAAAACACTGAATTTTTAAATAATGTGTTATTGTTAACGCACATTAAAGCATATTACTGCCAAAAACACATGTAAGCAAAAATATTTTATATGTCTACACAGTGTAAGAGGGTTTTCTTCAGTGCCCCCAAATGCCCCAGTTTTTCCACTGGAAAAACATGGGGGGCACCCTCTCCCCCAATTTTTCTGAGTTTTCCCCCAAGCCTTCAAATGTCTAAACAGAGGTTACAATCCTAAACATACTTACGAGGAATTAAGCCCCACTGCACTCAGGGGGATTTACTTCTGAGCATACATTCATAGGATTACACTAACTGTAGCAAGCTCTGAAACTGAAAAAGGGAGTTGTGGACATGCCAAGTGGAAGAGGGAAGGGGCACGAAATGTGTCCCTTGTGCCTGTCGAATGCATCTCAACTATCTAAAGATGGTTAAGTGACTGAGTTATACTGCCGATACAATGGGTCTATACAGGCCAAAATCTCATTAATTTCACTGTTGCTTGAAGTGTTACGGAAACTTTGCTGAAGGCTATCTGCCTTTCAGTTGTACTCCAGTGCACATCACATTTTTTCTTTCCAACTACACTTAGCTTGCTTATCTAAATGCACAGAATTTTCTCAGCTTAATTTAGATATTTTTCTGGGGTTCTATCTCCAGATTAGTCTGCTTCTAAACTGTTTGTTGAGAGGAAAATATATTGTTAGATAGCATATAATTAAGAAACATTGAATACCATATTTTCTCCAGGTCAATTTTGTTCCTATGAATTCAACAGAATTCTAATTCAGTTTTATTTATTTTTTAAAAAAATTAAAGTAATGGATTGGATCCTATAACCCAAGAGCAAAAGATACTCATAGACACTCAACCTTAGTACTTCCTCTTCCTAGTAGACTTGAGACCTTGAAAACCGAATGCTGAGAGTTGGGAAGTCTCATGGACAAGAGACTCATGGGGGACTTGAGAAAGGGAATTTGGGCAAATTTGCTCCAGCCTTCTCTTTCTTCAATGGAGTTTCTTGTTCCAGCAGAAACTCCACTGGCAGAATGGCAAATTATCAAGAGTTTCACTCAATTCTCACGGCAACCACCCTGCGTTGGGTTAGAACAGATAAAAGAAAGTACTTCACCCAAAAAGTGATTAACACATGGAATTCACTGCCACAGGAGGTGGTGGCAGCTACAAGCATGGACAGCTTCAAGAGGGAATTAGATAAACATATGGAGCAGAGATCCATCAGTGGCTATTAGCCATAAGGTATAGATAAGAACTCTGGGGCAAGTGATGCTCTGTATTCTTGGTGCTTGGGGGGGGGCAACAGTGGGAGACCTTCTATTGTCCTGGCCCCACTGATGGACCTCCTGATGGCACCTGGTATTTTTGGCCACTGTGTGACAGAGCGTTGGGCTGGCTGGGCCATTGGCCTGATCGAACATTGGCTTCTCTTATGTTCTTATGTATTTTATCTGTAAGACTCTCTCGACACCCAACAGCACCAGTGGCATTTCACAGGAACCCTCATAAGCAAATTCATCCTGTATTTAGTTTCACAATACATTCTTCATTCACATCCCTACATATCTTTTAAACTACCAAATACAAATAAGCTGCTCAGGGAAAGGACAAAGCTGCCTGAAAGGCAGCAAAGCAAAATGCAAGATTCTAGAACAGAAGACTCATCCAAAAGTTGATTCCTGTTGGCCAACAGACATTTTTTCCTTTCTTTTTTAGTGATCCATAATCCTGCCACTGAAACAGCCTGGAATCCACACATGCCATAACAGAGGCAGGGATTTAAAAATTCTTTTAAAAAATCAATTCTAAATGCTGATTTTCTAAGGGTTTTGTTTTTGTTTTGTTTTAAAAATCATGAATAGATGTGGAGCCAGTGTTGTACATAGTCTCTTTTCCTCTCAATACCTTATACTGTAAAATGCAAATTAAACAAAAACAGTTGTCATTGTGCACCACAATGATTTTCAGGGACAGAAAAGTAACTAAGGATTAGAAAGGTAGCATCAAAACCTTAACATTCTGCTATATTCCTCCCTGGGACAGGGAATGTCTTAAAACCAAACCTTCAAATAGGTGCTGAGTGTTTCATTGGCATGGATAAGAGAACATGAGCACAGACTAAACTTCATTACTGAAAAGGATGAATAGAATTTGCATTCTTACCTTTTCATTGAAACACTCAAGCAAGTCTTGGACATACCCTCGCATTTCTTGCAGAAATTTATACCGTTCAGCAATACCCCCAGAAGACCCTTCCAGTCTTTCAATTGTCTTGATAGAGTCATCTCGGCCTTGCTGATGCTTCTCATGTTGTTGCTGATTTGCTTTCTGAAATTCTTTCATTGAGTCCAACCTAAAGGTCAATGGACATATACACTTACATCCAAAAACCTATGATATTATTTCTCCTTCATCGAACTTTTAAAATAGCAAAACAATACAAATACCAGATGTAACATTAACATTTTGAAGCTGCGCTCACTATGGCAAAAGGTAGCTAGCCTGTCCTAAAAGCTATGCTGTCCAACACCCCTAAGCACAATGGATTTCCCCTAAGGCAGAACACATACGTTTATCACATCTTTTTCTACAGCTAATAGTATGCTCTACCCTCAGATTGTTGTTGCTTGAACTCACATCCCATCCTTGTAATATCCAAAAATCCTTGGCACACATGGCGTGGACGCACACACACAAGGGGATGCTGCTTTATTTCTTAAATTGCCCAATAACCGCATGTTTTTGTTTAGGTGGCCTGCTATAGATACCAGGTACCATTAATTTCCTCTGTATCTTTTGTGTCACTGGCTAGGGTGCTAGCTTGACATGATACTGTGCATTCTTAATAGGGTTGCCAGGTCCTATCTTCTTCCCAGCAGGGAAATTTGGGGGGTGGTCCAGGAGGGGGCGGGGCTGTCCCCGATGCAATTACATCATGCAGAGTGATGTCATCACATCAGGGACGCAGCACCATGCATGCATGCCCCCCCTTTCCCCAACTATTTAAAGGGAGCCTTTCCCTTTCAATTGTTGGGGAAAAGGGCCTGCCCTGCAAGCCATGAATTTGCGGCTTGCAGGGCAGGCATGCATGTGGTGCCCCCTCTTTTCAAGCAGGACCATGGACAACTATTGGGGGCAGGGCTTCCCCATGCCAGCCAGCTGGCCGGCATCTTTGGGAGCCCCAAAATTCAGGGGATTCTCCCTTCACACCTGAGGACTGGCATCCCTATTTCTTAACTTACGTTGATCTCCAGAGAAGGCATAGTGACTTCTGAAAGGGCAAATTTCTAGAAGCTCCTCATTAAGAGTTTGTTAACCCCAAATGGTTAACCATAGATATCTAATAATTGGACTGAGTTCCCCTTACAAAAAGACAGCAGTCTATAAAGGGGAATGCAAGCTACTATTGACATTACGATGCACAAAAATTTGCTCAGTTAATACTACACACTTTGGGCATCCAAAATATACTACAACTTTTAAAACATGGCTTTAAACATCATGCCTAAAGTGTTAACTTATTCAGAAAATACCAATTTATAATTCTCATAAAAATACCGTGTTGGTAAGCTAAACTTCACTGTCTTTTCAGTTCCTTCGCTATAAATTACTTTTCAGTTTCCAGAGATGCATCAATCTTCAACAAGATCAAATGGTCACATTTAAGCTTCACTTCCAGAGAAATAATCCAAGTAGTCTTTTTGAACATAGCTTGTTATCTTCTTCTTTTTTAAAAATAATGAGGATCCAGTCAGTATGCATCCATCGATGAATTCTGCATCTGCCTCCAAGACTAAAGACGCCTGAGAACAGAAATCTAGGGGACAGTTCTTAAATTTTAAAAAGTTAGTCTGCCCTACCTGTCTTTAAGCTGTTTCTTTACCAAATCAATAGAAACAGGCGTCATCTCATTACTGGGAGTTTTGAAAGGAATTGTGTTATCTGTTTTTTGAGACTTTGTCTCCAAAGATCCATAAGCAGCATATGTGTAAGGAATGCCATAAGAGGAACCATAAGGCATGGCCTGGTAAGTATTGTGGTAATACAGATTATTCACTTCAGCAGGCTGACTTGCTTGAACCTACAGGAACAAAACAGACAAATATGTAACAGGTATGAAACTGGGATCATACATATACTATTATAAACTGAAACAATTTGTCACAAAGCTAATTCAGTCTTGTATTTTTAGTCACCTATAAAGTTCTACTAAGCTAATCATTTCCTTCCTGTCCATGTAAATACATGTCAAAAAAGGAAGCAATTCAATGCATTTTTATCATCTCACAACGAAACTGGAAAATATAAAAGCAAAAATAGATTTGCATGCAAAACCTGGTTTTTCAGTTATATGTAGATCCCAGGGTTAGGAGCCTATGACTCATGCTAAGCCCTCCTGCAAGGGAGAAAAGTCTTTCTTTATTGAAAGGAGTTATGTGATTGAGCCACCAAAAGATAATGTAGATTTCTATATACTTAGGAGATTCCCATGGTGTGCAGAAAAATACTACTTTGTAAACTAACTAAATTAATAACTCTAAAAATGGCCAGAGGACTGTGCTCCAGGAAATTCAAAATATTAAGAGCAACTGAGAGGCAGAGGATTTTTTTAAAAATACAGAGATGGGGAAACTGGTCTGCTCAAACCCACGAGCACTTACAAAATCCTGGAAGGGAAGGATATGTCTGTTGTGCTTATGGCTGTATGTGTGCGTGTAAGATTTTAAATCATGCATCTCTCATCCATTTCTTTTTCCTTCTAATAGCAAACTTCATGATCGACTACTCATAACAAAAAGCAGCAGAAACGGCCACAACTATTGGGGTTCTGTAAATATATGAGCTGGTTAGTGTACAGATAGTGCCCCGGAGGGGAAAATTTCCCAGTCATATTTCTTTTTGCCATGAGAGTCCTCACGGATCCCAAAATTGTACAATGATATCCTCAATGCTGTAGTCAACTGCTAGAAGGCCCTGGGAGTGTGAGGTGGGATGGTATTTTTATGTCAAAGCATTAAGCCCAACCCACCACAAATGTTCAGCTGCCAATTCCTGTCACACTTTCCCTTAAACACTTGAAGCATGACAGCAGTTAGAGGACTGACTCCCATTTTAAAATTATTTCAATACATGCCTGAGGTATATTAATGCCTTTACGTATCTGTTCTTGCTCCCACCGACTGAGTTCTTCATCCTGTTCCCCAGCAACTAGAGCTTCATCATCACTTCCCTCGATACCTGTTCACAAAGGCCAAATGAAAAGGAATGAAAAACACATTAAACACTGAAAAGAATGAAATTAGAAGACAACATTCAAAGCTGTATTACCTTGGCAAAGAAGGCTAATATGTGGCTCCCCTCACTCCTTCCCAAAAAGAATTTTTTTTTTAATCATCTTTATTAATTTTAAATTAATGTATAATAGAGCGTAATACAGTGCATCCATCTGCAAGAATGTCATCTAAATGGAAAAAGTTGAAACCTACAAGGTTAACCACTTCAGATAAAGAGGGTTAGGGGGGAGAATATCTAGAATCTGTAAGTAGGAGACTACAGGGAACCAAGTTGACACAAATGTGGAGTGGTGTGGGATATCTGATTGTGCACACCTGAGCGAATCAGCAATTTTTGCCATGACAAGGTGTTCCCATAGCTTGTCCTGCCAGTCTGTCACTGATGGTGCAGCTGGAGATTTCCAGTTTGCAGCAATGGCCAGGCGGGCTATTGCTAATAGAGTTGATGTGAGTTCTTTTTTTATGATCTTGAATAGAATCATCCCAGAAGTTTAACAGAAAGGATTCAGGCGAGAGAGAGAGATTTTGAGTTGTGATATTCCCAGTTTGTTGTTTCACATCCGTCCAAAACTGTTGGATCTTGGGGCAGGACCACCAGCCATGCAAGTCCCCTCTTGTCCGCACCCTTTCCAGCACATAGGGCTGTTGGATCTGCTAAATTTGTGTGTTTGCTGTGGGGTTAGGTACCATCTCGAAATGGTCTTGAAGAACTGTAATTTTATATTGTATGTCTTAAGAGCTATTTGCTGGTGAACCCCAGATATTTTCCCAGTCTGTCTCTTGCCAGTGCACCCCTAGCTCCTCATCCCACTTTGCTTGGTACCTCAATTTTATGGGATTTTCTTTTATAATCATCACTCTATAGAGCTTAGACAGCAAACCTTTTGGGGATTTGGGGTAGAGTGTAATGATTTTTTCTAGATTGGTAAGTTCTCTTCGGAACATTCCTGTTTCTGCTAATCGTTCTATAAGATCTCTGAGATGTAGGTAATCATGCCAGTGAGATTGTTGATTCATTTTTGATCGGTATATTTTGTCTAGTATTTTGCCTTTGGAAACTAAATCATAGGGACGGCTCAAGTTTGCTTTTTTCCAGTCTATGTAGGCGTCTGGGCTTTTGCCTGGTCCAAACCAGTTCTGATGTTTGAAGGTGGAGAGTTGAGATAACCCAGTGGTTGGGAGTAGGTTATTATTGTTGTCCCATGTTTTGATAGTTGTTTTCAAAAGGGTATTTGTATTAATGCTTTTGGGTCTTAGAGTTGGCTTGATCCAAAAAATCTCCTGCAGGTCGTAGGGTGCTGTGTAAGATTGCTCAATTGTTTTCCATTGTTTTTCCTGTCCTATGTGTTGCATTTGTACTGCCCATGCAAGAATCGCAGTTTGGTGATATGACCGAAGCGAGGGGAGGTTGAGTCCTCCCTGCTTATCTGTTCTGTGCGTGATGTCATAATTTATTCTAGTTTTTTCCCCATCCCAAAAGAAACGTGTTAAAAGCATTTGCCAGGAGTCTAAGTCCCTTTTTGTGATGGGGATGGAGAGCATTTGGAATAGAAATATAAACTTAGGCATTATGAGACTTTTTATCAAATGAAACCTGTCTGGAAGCGATAGTTTAAGAGTTTTCCAGCTTTCTATGTCAGTTTTGACATTTGCAGCAAAAAGAAATTTCAACTTGGGAAGAGTCTGATACATGGTTCTGAGCCCCGTACTTTTCAATATTTTTATAAATGATGTGGATGAGGGTGTGGAGGGGCTACTCATTAAATTTGCAGGTGACACCAAATTGGGAGGAGCAGCAAACACACCAGAAGATATAGACTTCAACAAGATCTGAACACACTGGAAATGTGGGCGGATGTGAACAAAATGCAATTTAACGATAAGTAACGAGTTCTACATCTGGATAAAAAAAATGAGGAATACGCATACTGGATAAGGGATACACTTCTGGGAAGCAGTGTGTGTGAACAAGATCTTGGGGGACGGGTGGGCCGTAAATTAAATATGAGCAGCCAGTGTGATGCAGTGGCAAAAAAAGCTAATGCGATCTTGAGGTTTATCAACAGAGGCATAACATCCAAATCACAAGATGTCACAGTCCCGCTGTACACTGCACTGGTCAGGTTGCATCTGGAGTTCTGTGTGCAGTTCTGGAGGACTCACTTCAAAAAGGATATCGACAGAATGGAGTGGGTGCAGAGAAGAGTGACAAGGATGATTGGGGGCCTGGAGGCCAAGCCATATGAGGAAAGGTTGAGGGACTTGGGAATGTTTGGTCTAGAGATGAGGCGGTTGTGGGAAGGGGAGACACAATTGCTTTCTTTAAGTATCTGAAAGGCTGTCACTTCAAAGAGGGCAGGAAGCTGTTTCTCTTGGCAGCAGAGGATAGACTTTCAAGAATGGGTTTAAATTAAGGGTGGAAAGGTACTGGCTGGATATTAGGAAAAACTTATTTACAGTAAGAGTTGTGCAAAAGTGGAATCAGCTGCCTAGGGAGGTGGTGAGCTCCCTGTCACTGACAGTCTTTAAGCAGCAGCTGGACAGACACTTGTTGGGGATGCTCTAGGCTGATCCTGCATTGAGCAGGGGGTTGGACTAGATGGCCTGTATGGCCCCTTCCAACTCTGTGATTCTATGATTCTACAAGATTCTGTCCATATGATGAGGGATGCTGAAGTTGAGCTTACAGTGTAAGGTCCTGGATCATTAATGTATACAGCAGGATATTCAGTAAGCTAAAGAGATGTTTTTCTTTTTTTCCTGAACAGTTGTTGCCTATGCTATATCAAAAGGTGCTTTTGATACTCCTACATTCTCTAGAACCTGCTTTTTCCTACATAAATAAGAAATGACCACAGCATGACATTTGAAACTTATTGCAACTTTTCTACTGATCTTGATACATTACCTATTTCCTCTGCAATCTTTTGCCTCTGAGACTTCTCTTTCACTGAAAAGACTATCCTCCTTTTCTCGTCATCGTCTTCATCATCACTGGCATCATTTTCATCTTCTCTAATAAGGCGCCCTTTCCCAGGATCATTGTCAAGGGGTATGAAGTCCCCAAGCTCACGAGCCATTTGGCGCTTTTTCCTAGCAGCATGAATAAAAGCAGCATCTGGGATTTCTCCTAGAGAGAAAGGTTATGCATTTTAAATGCTCTCACTGATATCAAGCCAACATATTACAGTAGTAGTTGTAATAATTATTGGATGTCAGCTACTAAGAATATATGGTAAGAACACTGAATACAGTTATCACACACTCATAGTAGCACTCATAAATTAGTAACTATTCTTAAGGCAAAGCATTTTTAACAAGAGTGACACAGCTACCATATTTGACTTTTCCGCATCATCAAGCTTACTGATGCCCTGCTGGTAGCTGTTCTAATAAGGAGGATACTGCAGGACTAAAAATTCCTATATATTATAAAAAGAGTAACTACATAACTGAGCTTTATTATATAATGACTAGAAATCAGAAATTTTAAATTGTTCAAGAGAAAGACTAACAGAGATTACTTTGGTCCTAGAATTTGAAGAAAATACACTGACATGGAATCAGACAAATATTACCAATATTGTTTTTACTATTATATGCTAACCTGGACGCAGAACGTTCAGAGAGGACAAAGCACTTGAGAAAGCTCCTGCAGCTTTTGGTTTTTCTTCTTCCTTCTCACTTTCAACTTCCATCTCCTCTTCTCCTTGTTCACTATTTGCAGCCCCATCTTCTTGAATTGCATCTTTAGTTTGCCCTGTTTTGTCGACAGACTGTTCAGCTGCAACACAAGTCTATATTTTAACTGTCCTTTTTGAAAGTTACTATTAACAGGAATTTTTTAAAACAAAACACACATTAAAGGTAAAGGTTTCCCTTGCTCGAAAGCTAGTCAAATCCAACTCTAGGGGGCAGTGCTCATCTCCGTTTCCAAGCCGAAAACCCAGCGCTGTCTGAAGACTTCTCCATGGTCATGTGGCTGGCATAAACAAACGCCATGGTGCTCGGAACGCTGTTACCTTCCCACCAAAGTGGTACCTATTTATCTACTTGCAATTTCTTGCTTTCAAACTGCTAGGTTGGCAGGAGCTAGGGCCAGAGACGGAAGCTCACTCCATCACACGGCACTAGGGTCTTGAACTGCTGAGCTATAGACCTTCCGGTCTGCAGCTTCAGCATCTTAACCTCTGAACCACATTACGGATAACTAAAACCATATTTAATTGGTTGGCTCCAGACTGTTTTTTCCACTCAACTTAAGGTAGCTTAATTTCAAGAAAGGAACTGATAAATATAAGATGTACAAATCATTGAAATATTACTGAACTGAAACCCTTTCAACATTCCACAGAGGACATTAGTTACTTTGTGTTCTAAACTAAAACCATGCTTGATGAAGCTTCTAAACAATTATGTTTCTAAGGGAACCCAGAGAGAATCATTCCTAGCAATCCCTCATTAGAAATTTTTAATAGTTGATATTCAGACTATACTTCCTGGTTACAACTCTGAAAGTATGCACTGAGATAATCACAGTCAGCACAAATATGCAAGAAAGGGGCATGCAAGGACTTTTAGCGGACAAGTTGTCACTAGTTGTCACTTTTCATTCCTGCTACTTCTTCCTCCACAATTCCTTCTTCCAATACAATATTATACTCTTAAGAACTGAAGCTAGTTTGTCTTTTCATTCAGCACCCAGCATTAATGGTGCAGTCCTATTCACATCATGAAGACAAAAGTCTGTCTTTCTGTTCTCCAGTCATAAAGCTACTTTTATGCTGGAAAAGTCTCCCCTGGCTTTTGCCCAAGTTCCATGGAAGGATTCTTTCTCCCCTTGCTCTCTCAGCATTCCAGGTGTCTGCGAATACAAGTGGAGACAGAGTCTGCACTGCAAAACAAGACAAATGAAAGAACAGACTATGGAGGTGAT